CATCTGTGTTTACACTCAGTAAACAGCAGTGAATCTGGTGAACTGATGACATTCAAGGGCAATCAGTCATTGCTGTTGAGCACATGAACACAATAGCAAATCAGCGATGTTTAAGAACGTGCTCAACTACGCTTAAATGTTTACGGAAAATTGACCTTTTTAAAATTCAGTATCTAATGGTAACGAATTCCATTATTGTGACAACCCATGAATCGCAAACTATGACAACGGATTTAAAAAAAATTAATTTATACAATGCTCCAAATAAATTCATATTTCAGATAAAATCTAAAAGAAAAAGAAAAACTGCACAACTGTATATTTATTTGTACATTTATCATTATTTTAAACGTTTCATTTTACATGCAAAGTGTAGTAGTATCTTATCAATTAATTATGTGTGAATATGGATGATACAAAATTATAACACATTATAAATAAATTTAAAAAAAAGAATTAGCAGGAAAATACAGGGCAGTTTTATGTAAAAGCATTTAATTTGGTGGCAAAACACATAGAGATGTGACTTTATTGCTGAAGATATGTCACTTTACTCACAGCTCAGGCATTGATTTGCTCAGAGTGAAATCATCCTTGGAGCAGGTTAGCCATGTCAAGTTAATCATCATGACAATGCAATCAGTTCATAACTAACCCACCTTCTTTAGTTTGTTCAAACTAAATAAATTATTAAACTAGACTTCAGGCCTCAGTCTGTTCCATGTGTTCTTCACGAATTTGCCAAACTTTAAATGTATTGGACATCTCCTCTAGGTTTTCACTGGGGGCCGATGAGAGCGAGAGCCTCATCACCAGTGAAGCTTGTTTATTTGTGTTGGGTGGAAATTAATAAAGGGTGTTTGTGTCAGTATTTGTGTGAACAGTCCAGTTGGCACTTGGTTGTAAACTGGGGAGGGGACTCTGGTCTCTCGGAGGTGGAGAAATCTGAGCCGCTGCTGGTCTGCGGTTCTCTTGTTTTCCCTGGAGCTGTGCTTCACTGCTTTTGTTATGAAAGCTCACTGGCCCAGACTCAGCCTTGATCTTCCCTTCCCCCACTCATTCACCCTCTTCACCTCTCTACTTGCCCATAGATTTAATACAATCCAAATGCTGCTATACCACCAACACAGCCTTTTATAGTCTCTCAGAATATCTAGAAACAACCGAGGAGGCAAAGTTTGCAAGCGGTTTTGATCCCACACACATGTAGGTGTTAATGTTCGCACATGTGATCTGTTTCATGAGGGTCATCACAATTTCAGGTCTGCACTGCCTTCTGAACAACACGATACAGATATTAGAAGAATATGTTTCTGACCAGATTTGCATGGGGTAAACTGAACCTTACTGACGTGTCTTTTGGGCAGATTGACTGTGCATGGCTTATGGCTTATAATGAAAGCTTGTTTAAGACTGAGCCTAAAGCTAATTTAGTCCTAGCTGGCCTACATTGTGTATATAAGGCTTCTAAATCATTATTCATATGGAGCAGAGTAGATTACCTTGTTTTAAATCACACTCGTTGAATGTGAGGCACCTGAACATTAGTTTTCTTATAAGTTTGGTTGACTGATAGAAAATAAACCATGACTTTGGGATTTCAGCTTGTTCACTGCCCAGCAGTTAGGATGTTTTAAACTAGAGCTGCATAATATAAAAAAAAATTCGGCAATATATATTGCAATTATGAATACAATTTCAGCAGATGATTTAATATCTCTATTTGGAAAGAATTTATAATGTTAGATTGATTGGGATGATTCTGCAGTGGTAGTGCATCTCTGTGAAGGCTAATAAACAATCTATAAATATAGTAAAGAAAAGTTACACATGAAATAAACGGTGTTTTATCATTTTCCGATTCTAACAGTATTCGGATGTAGTGATTTATTAATAATAATAATTCAAAAAAACGAATCGCTACTAAGTTACAAATGGTACAATTTCTTATACCTGAATGCTTTTAAAATCATTACACAATCACTTAAAAACACATGCAATGTTTAGCTTGAATTATAATTGATCATTTGCATGTCTTGCGATGTGATTACATTGCAATATCGATGCTGAAGCGATATATTGTGCAATAGTATTTCAAACTGATAAAAAAATTATAAAGACATTTATAATTTGATACATTTATTTTCTTTTTAAAAATTCTATTCGTCAAAGAATCTTAACACATGCGTGAACATTATTTCCACAAAAATAGCGGCACAATTTTGTACGTCATTAAAAGCTGTTGTACCAAAACAGAATATTAGAATGTCATATGATCCTTCAGAAATCAATGAAGATTTGAGTAAATCTGTGGGTTTACTAAGGCTGGGCGATAAAATCGGTATTGATATTTATTTATTGCAATATAGTTTTATTAAAATGTGGCTGCTGATCACGCGCTTTGGAAGCAGAGCCAGTAAGCTAAGGGTGTAAGGTTTTTTTTCTAATGGAGTTGCGTTACTTGTACGACGTGCACATAGGAGTGAAATACACATGTTGTGCAAGCGACACGCGTGATGCATGCACATTTTCCAAGTACACCTATATGATATGCTTTGAGCGTACCGCAATTCATCCAAGTAGAACTTACCAAACTGCTTCACACTTTGAATGAAATAAAACATTTCTGTAATAACGATAGACTAATTACCTCAGAGTGTGCATCTAACACAGTGCATCTAAACTCTGCATTGCTTTATCTTTTCTCATTGCACACACTTCCTAAAATTTTATTTAGCAAGTTTAAGAGTATTTTGTTGTTTGACTGTTAAAACTATTTGACTTGGTAATGTTAGTAAATTAAAAATAGGGATGCATCGATCCTAATACTTGGATCGGATTTCGGTTCGATACCGCATATTCTGTGTAATTTATAAGCCAAAAAAAGCCACGAAGGTAGCCTATTATACTAACACTAGAAAGTTGTTATGTAGGCTACTATATCCCAAATGTTCTCAAGCCATTCTAAAGTTTATTGTGAATTATATGAATGTTCAAGGGGTTAAATTCATGTTCAGTTCACCACTTACTGCCGCTGTGCCTGTCAATCATTCTCCATTCATTCACAATTAAAACTGTGTGCTTTTGTGACAACACCAAAAACTTTTTCCAAGACTATTTGTTCCTGTTAATTTAAGTAATCGGTGGAGAAATGCATTTAGTTTTACATTAAATGGCTACATTTTGGCCTGCAACATATAGAGATCATTGCTATTTCTAAATCATGCACTGTGTCTGTTAGATCAGCAGATCGCATTCACAACACTAGAGAGGGTTATACCTACTCTTCACACACAAAGTAGGCCCACCTGAAACATTTAAATCAAAAAAGGCTTAATAATACATTGGACAGATTCTCAACGCACTGATTTCTTCCCTTTGTGCTGCTGTTTTAGAAGCGTCCGTATAGCCGAGGCCTGCTCGCTGTCTTTTAGTTATGCAAGCGATTCATTCAGGCACCGGCTGCACAGACTCAACATGCGCCGCTCCATAAGATTAGTCTTACAATAAGTTTATGTACTCTCATCCTTTAGATTGAGTTTATTCTTCCGAAGAGAATACTTTAAGTGCTGCGAATAGTTTGTAAAGCCTGGCTCATTGTGATCAAAATAGTTGATTAAATTATTAAAAGTGAAACTGACGGACGCATATTAATTGTCATTAACAGAAAATAATTTAGCCTAATATAGGCTACTCTCAAACTGTGAATATTTCTCTGTCATTTAATATATATATATATTTACATTTTAATTAACAGACCAGTTTGTCTGAAACATAAAAGCAGACCTTGTTTGAACTTCACCTCAAATCATCTTGTTTATTTTGTAGATAACTGACCAACAAAAATACATTAAAATAACCAACAAATTATACCGAACGAAATTCGTTTCATAAAGACAAAAAATAAATTTTCTGACATTTTTCAGGCGAGTTTAGGTGGGGTAATGTTTATTAAGTAAAACTGGCCTCAGACGGTTTTATTTAGTCTGCTTCAAACCTGCAGGAAAATATCAGGCTGATTAATTTACCTACGATTAGAGTCAGTAGTGGTACCCTATTACAGATTTCAAAGAAAAATCTTAATATAAAAAAAAAACAAGCTGGACCACAACAGATTATTTCAATGTCATAATGAGTGCTCAAATAATGTAGCCAGTTATAGCAAGCGTCATGTTTAGTTAGATTGTGCCATCTGTCATATACATGAGGCTTTTAGGTCTGTTATTTTTTTACTAAAGAAGATTGATTATTTGAGTTTATCACCAGAACTATAGAAACTATATTATGGTAATAAAAGAAATAAACAAATAAAAAATCACCACAGGATCAAATCGGTATCGGTGTTTACTCAAAATTTTGGTATCGAGATCAGATCGGTTCTAAAAACAAAAAATGGTATCAGTGCTTCCCTAATTAAAATAAAGTGGTTAACTGAAAAAAAACTAATATACCTAAATAAATTTTAAAAAAATTGTCAATAATTATCGATACTGAATGATATGAAGTTGCATCTCTTGTCATTGTCCAATCAAATAAAAGCAGAGCCGGGGCTTCCGTTGAGGTAACAGCAATGTTTATGTTGTCAAGACTACTACAGATAGTTTTAAAGATGAAGGAAAGACTAGTGTCGGTCGCTGTTTTGAGTTATTCGAAGATGTATAATTTCTTCTTTCTGAGGGTCTCTGGTGCGCCTCACATTCTCAGAGCAGAAAAGCGTGATCGGCCCATAAAGCTATTTAAATATTTTCAATTTTTCTAAATTTTACCGTTTACTTTTAGTTTATTAGCAGATAAATGTGACCTTGGTGAGCATTACTAATTTGAGCAGTTTTACTAATAAAAATGCTAATATTTCCAATTAGTTTTACAAACATGTAAACACTTAAACTGTTTAGATAATTGCCTCATCAATCATAATTTTGGGGTTTAACTATACTTAATCTAAATAGATGATCTCTTAAGTCATAACTTTACTCCTGTTTCCTCTTTTTTTAACACAGCAAATGGTGATGAGCCTCCGTGTCTCAGAGCTTCAGGTTCTTCTGGGATATGCAGGCCGCAACAAACATGGAAGGAAGCATGAACTCTTGACCAAAGCGCTACATTTGTTGAAAACGGGCTGCAGTCCTGCCGTGCAGATGAAGATCAAGGAGCTCTACCGCCGACGCTTCCCCACAAAAATGGTGTCCCCGACAGACCTCTCTCTCCCCGGCATACACTCCAGCTCTGGAGGGGCTTCCGCAGGCCTGCCAGCAAGCCTCACACAGCTGGGATATGATGGCCACGGCTCACCGTCTCTACTACCTGTCGCACTGCTTGGGCCAAAACATGAGCTGGGCCTGCCCCACCTGCCCTCCGCCCTTCACCCAGTCCATCCAGACGTCAAGCTCCAGAGGCTGCCCTTCTACGATGTGCTTGATGAGCTCATCAAACCCACCAGTTTAGGTGAGTAAGAATGACTTGAAAATGTTTTTAAAAATGTGTGTTCGTGTAGCTGTGATCAGGAACAAGGATAGAGTGTGGAAACGGGAAGGGATTTGAATAAAGTTCCAATGTAAAAAGACAGCTAATTTGCACACCAGCAATGACAGATGTCAAAAGTAGCAGTTACAGTGCTACTGAGAGCTGAAAGAAGATGATCTGAAATCCATATTACTTTAGGGCTGGGCGATACATCAAATATTATCGATAATATCACAACAATTTTGTTGATGATTTTGAAATATTGCACATATCGAATAATTCAAATTCAAGCTCAGCTACTTTCCCAAAAGAATGCACCGATCATCCAATATTTTGTCCCTCTTAAGCATTACCATGTGTAAAAGAGACGTGAGGTGAGGGAGGGTCTTATTTGACACATTTCCAAAAGAGGAAAAAGACTAGGGAGGAGATGATGAATTAGTCCTCAGAAGAAACACACATTCTGTAAATTGGGGGTGGGCGAAAAACTCACTGTTTAAAATACACTGTTTATAAACTCACAATACATTAGGTCCCCATTTGCATTGCTGTTTGTGGCGGCTATAAAATAAATAAATGGAAATTATCCACATGCATGGTAAGCTGCATATCATGTTTGTTCATTTCTCTCTCACACACAAGCATTTGTTTCAAAAGTGCAGAATATATAGGCCTATATTGTATTTATTTAAAAACACACTTTAATGTTTAGGCATTTTGTTTTATGAGATAACTGGCAACGGTTTAGTACTCTACACATTTGAGCCTAAGTATCCACACACACACACACACACACACACACACACACACACACACACACACACACACACACACACACCGAGAATACCATTTAAGGTGGATAATAAAAAAGGACATTCATCTATCTTTCTATCTATATCCATCCATCCATCCAACCTAGATTTTACCAGAGCTCTGTATTTGTTGACATGTTATAACTAATTTGTATAAAACTGAGTAGAATATATTATTTTATAGCTATCGAGAAAATAATTGCGAGGCTGAAAGAAAATTTGCTACGAAGAAGCATTTGGAAATCGCGAGTGGTTTCGCTTTCTGTATTTCAATTCATCTTTATTTCTATGTTGCTTTTACAATGCAGATTGTGTCAAAGCACTTAACATGAAAGTTTATAGTAAATTGAACGTGTCTGTCCAGTTTTTTTTGCCTGATCTTGCTGCGCATCTATATTTGAAATAAATTTGCAGACCTAGTAAATGCAAAAATGTCTGTATATATTGGATATTGGAAAAATCGAGATATAATTTTTTCATTTAGCCCTATATACCACTGGTCCAAATTCTGGTAAAAACGTTTTTTTACAAACATGTTTTGTGTTAGTCTGCCACACCAAACCACCCACCCACCCACACCAAAAAAACTTTAAGCAATGCTTTTTGGTTGGTGCACTTTTAACATGTCTCAAAATGATGACAATGAGGGATGATCGAAGAATCAGGGGAGAGACTTTCTAATGCAAAATAATGCAATTATTATGACTCATTTACAGTAGTGTACAGGGTTGGATTGAACAAGCCCTCTCTCATGAATTAATGTGTAGAAATGCTCTAGATTAATTATATGTGTGTACTCTACTGTCAAGGCAGCCAATCACCGCTCCAAATTAACATGTATTTCATGACATAGTTGTGTATGTCTGTTAAAATGACATAAAATATGTATTTCAGGATTGCAAGACCTTTTAAAACCTTAAGGTTTAAATTGTACTTCTATACTGTTGAATTAAGAAATGTCATTGTCAAAGGATTTTATGCTCAGTAAGGTCATTTGTAAGAAGTTTCACTTCATGTGCATGTACGTTTGAAGCATCATTATTGATTGTGCATACATAAAAGCAGTTTTGTGATGTATTGCAGCCATATTCTGTGAATTTCAGTAAAAAAGAACCTTCTACAAGATAACAAAGGCACTCTCTAATCTTTTAATTATGATGCAACCCTTCAGATAACACACCATCTGGTTGATTTTCAAATTCTATCACTTTGGACATCCCTTCACGACCTCTTTTGAGGATTCCCCTCCCCCCACACATACAAACATAAAGGTGCTCTTCAAGTGATTTATAGCTTATCAGATTGAACAAGGGCCACGTGCACTATATTTAGTCATCCAGCTCATGCTAAGAATAAATGGCCAATATCAATGGAAAGGATGTGTCATTAAGCATGTAGGCTGGGCATTTCTGCTGTGATAGTTTCCTCTTCAGCATTTGTAATCTTTAAAGTGCATGGCAGAATCACTAGCCATAGTGTTTTCACTTCAGGACCGATACAATTATTCAGGATCAAGTCGTTTTATTTTTCAAAAGGAAATGACTGCCAAAGTGGGTGTTCAGAAGTAATGCATGGGGCCAGACGGACCAAACTCCATCCAAAGATAATTCTGTATGTTGTTTCTGAGCAGGTGGCAGTTTGAGTCAAATATCAGTTCTTAACCGATGCTTAGCTCATTTTTGGACTGTGGATGCAAGTTACCTTATTTGAAGATTCATTTTCTTACAAGAGCTCTTAAGGAGTTCAGTTGAGTGCAAATTGCTAAACTGCTTTCCGCTGTGCATTGCAAAGGACCCTGCAACATTAAATTGCTTCTCAAGAAAACAACGGGGTCCTCCTTCCATATTGAGTTGAAGTCCCTCAGACCGAACGCTTCTTTCTAGGTCAGTGCGATGAAAACGATTGGTGAATTTCGAGTTGTTTGAGCTGAGAGAGCAACCAGTGTTGATGGATCTTCTGCGCGCTGGAGAATTGGCTCTCCTTCCTCATATGTACAGATTAATCATCTGCCAGCATCTCACTGTTAAACCACGCTTCAAGTAGAATAGATTTTCCTCTTCACATGACTACTCAAGTGGTCAGTGTGCAGAAAACGAACCTCTCGTTTCTCTTTCATTGGGTTTAGGCCTGTCGAGGTGCAGATAGAGCTTCCTCTTATCTCTCGCTCTCCTGAAACCCTTTGCTTCGTTTAAGGAGATTGGGTTATGTAACCTGAGGTTATTTTTGGCGCTGTTGTAGAGTTTGGCTTTGAAATAAACTGCACAAGCATTTGAAGTAGTTCCACGGCAAAGAACCAGTAACCTTGTGTCTGTAACTGAGATGCTGCTTTGCTATAGTTTTGAGATGATTAAAGGAAAAGTTCACTCTATAAAAGGAACATTTAATCACCCTCAAGGGCTTCCCAGCCTTAATGGCTTTTTTTTCTATTGACCACATTATATTTTGAAGAATGACTATTGTTCCTTTCACACATACAGACGTTTCCAAAAAGGGATCATGTGTGAACAGGCCCTTTTTGAGAATGCTAGTAAATTTGTTCTAGAGTTGTAACATTACTGTTAATTTGACAGAAAGCTGTTCTTTGTGAAAGCAGAAGGAAAATTGTCGCAAAGATTACATTCATGTTTGGAACGTGGTGATGTGAGAGGTCTACTTTGGCCAATCAGAACATTCAGAAGCATTCACATCCGCGCTGTTTATGATAATAAAAGCCTTTGAATACTTTTCCAGAAACATTTAGCAGCTATTTGTTAGTCAGATAACGTTTCTATGTTCATTATTAAAGCTCCAGTGAGTGCTAGCTCACAAACAAATGTGCATCTCAACATACTAAAGTGTTTTTCCATGTTTACATTGAAATTGTTCTCAATATGTATCCATCCACACAATTTGTAATGTAGTCAAATGTGTCAACATTTAGCTGTGGTTCGCGCTTCTGCTGTTGGATGTCTCTGGGACAAAAGCAGCTGCATGAATGCTGAAGCTTTAAGTAAAAGTGAAACCATCAACAAAGGCTTGACCCCTATTATTTTCACAAATACAAGCACAGCTGTTTAGAGGTCATTTCTGGTCAATGATGTCAGATTTTACTGTTTTTTTGGAATGGATGTGTGTACGGCTGGGCAATTTGGCCCAAAATTAAAATTTCGATTAAATGAACATTTTACCTCTGTTACAATTAATGAACGATTATTTTATTTATTTTATGTTTTTGCCCTCATAGTTAATTGTCAAGTTTGGTACAGTAAATATGTTTACATATTAAAAGTAAGAGATTTTTGAATGAAGGGTGCATTACTTTATTTTAAAATAATTGAAGGTAACACACACTATCTACTATCTATGATTATTTATTGAACATCATAATAGAAAATCCGTCTCAAGCCATTTCTGGCCCAGCTTCCTATCATTGTTAGTTTAGTTACTTTTTTTTAAGAGGTGCACAGGTGTACGAGCTCATGAAGGCTGCGCCGGACCATACCCGTGAGTTTGATGCAGAAGTAGAAATTAGCCTTTAACAAAGCAGGGTTTTGTGACTCCACATGCAGTAGGGAAAGTAATGGAAAAAATTGACCTGGAAAATTATATTCTTTATAGGTCCTGACTGTCGATTTTGATTACTTTTTGATTAATTGCCTAGCCCTAGATGTGTAAATAGTCCTTGCCTGTGTGAAAAGCGCTTTTTTGAATTTACCAGTAAAGTATTTCTGGACATTTTCCTGATGTTTACCGGTATCTCTGTGTGAAAGGGGCTTTTGACATCCATAGTATAGGAAAAAATACTGTGTAGGTCATTGACTACTTTTTTACACTTTTTTTTTTTTCAAAATTTCATTTGTTTTTAACTGATGGAACTGAAATGGCTTTTGATCAAGTGGATAGTGAGTTTTCGAAAATATAAAAATATGAAATATGCAAATATATTTTACCTGAAGTACGTGAACCAGCAAAAAGCATTTACATTACAAGGAAGTTGGTTCTTCCTAGCAGTTTCCCCTTCAGAAAACATGTCTGACTTACTGAAACATTGTTTATGGACATTATGGAACAGAAAACTCCCTCTCTAAACTTCCCTCTTGGTGGAAAGTTGGAGAAGTGCAGTTCTCTGAAATATCTTTTGTGTGCAGCGTGTGGAAGTAGGTTTATTATAGTGCTATTACTGAATTAAAATTATGTTATTAAAAATGAAATTATTTTATTAAACCTAATAATTTAGAATTGTTTTTGAAACAGTCACTTTAAAATAATAATAAAAAGGCAATGCTCTTAGTAATAAAATATTTTATTTTCATTGTAAGGAATTATAAAATAAAGAGCTTGCTAAGCAATTGATAGAATACTTGCGTCTCTGTTTTACATTTAGACCAAAGGTATGCATAACAAAGAAAAGGATCATGTTATGTTTACTTTTCACTCTGTGCTTCTTAAGTGTTATTAAATGCTGTATTACACATTTCAGTTGTGTAATTCCACAAAATATAGCTTCATTTCATGTATGTTAAAATGAAATGATTGTAAAAATAATCTGCAGTCAATTTTTTGTGTGGTTTCCTTTAAGTTTTCAAAAGTTCCTTTTAAGTTGTCAAAAAGGTTGTAAAAATAAACCCAAAAATAACCTTCTGAGAAATATTTTTTGTAATGATTGCAAAATAATAATCTAAAAATAACCAATAGAGGGTGTTCTGTATTGTAATGTACTGTTTTGTTCTAAAAAAAAAAATTGTGTGTGTGTGTTTGGAAAAAACCTCCACTAATTTTTGAAGCATTCTGTTTTTCTTGGAACCTATTAATAAACTCTTATTGATACTGAAATACACAGTCTGGATAGATAATAACCAAATATTTGGTAAATAAGCTAAATTGTTTATCATGTGTGTTGGGTCGTCAAAATTTGGTTAGCAAATTAACAAATAAATATAGTTTATTAATATAGGGCTGCACAATATATAGTTTTAGCATCAATATTGCAATGAGAGCATTCGCAATAGTCACATCGCAGAACCTGCATGTTGAGTCTGGATAATAAAGGATCATTTTGCAAGTGTTTTTTTAGGCCTGTGGCTGTATGAACATTTTAAAAGCATTTACGCATACAAAATTGTACCAGTTGTAACTTTTGAAAAATTAATAACAGTTTAATTAGTAATGCTGTATTATTTTGTCAAATATAGATAGACTCCTCGGAAAACAATAAAACTGTTAATTTACTTCATTTTCTTTATTGAGTTTGCGCTTCTAGATTGTTTATTATATTTCATGCAGATGTACTCCCACTACAGAATCATCCCAATCAACCATAACTTATAAATTCTGTTCAAATAGTTATTCAAGTAATTTAGTGAAATTGTATTCATATCACAATATATATCACAGATTAAAAAATATTGCAATGTTAGATTTTCCCCTCTATTGTGCGGTCCTAACTGCTATGATGATTAGTTGCTTGATAATATGTTTAATTAGAGCTTTGGTGATTAATTGTTTGTTTTAGTAATTAACAACTATCACAAATAACTTATCACAAATTATTGTGATAATTGAATTATTTCATAAGTAGTCACTTGTCATATACAATTAATACACTTAACACCCTTTATTCAGTGAATTACTATTCAATTCAGTGAAATGCAAAATTTACAATAAAATTGATAATATATAATATTAATTTATTGTATCTTTTAGAAATGTTTCAATTCTATTAGAACAGTAAACATCATAATGAAGAGACCATAACAGAATACACCATGGGTTCATTTGGTAATTTATTTATTGTGTTTTTTGTTGTTATTTTTCTTTTTGTTTTTACTCTTGATGTAGCTAACTGTGACATTTTTAGAGGTTTAATGTGATAAGTTCTCCATCTTCAATGACCATCTCCTCTCTTTCTGTTTTACAGCCTCAGACAACAGTCAGAGGTTTCAGGAAACGTGTTTTGCGTTTGCACTTACGCCTCAGCAGGTCCAACAGATCAGCAGTTCAATGTAAGTGTGCATATCAAATTGCATCATTGGGCAAGAAAACATGTTTCAAGTGATTGAAATGCCCCTTCATAGTTTGAGCTCCTAATAAATTTGAACTAGTAAAGTTACTCAGCCAGAACTGAAAGCCTGTCAAATTGAAAACAGCTGTTAGTCGCTTTATCTTGTCTTGTTAGATATGATCTCCATGTAGTTACACAGCAGGCTCTAGTGCTTATCAAACGTGCCCAAGCGAGCGGTCCTCTCTAGAATGTTTGGTATGCTTTTCTCCTACGCTGCATCACACATTCCTTCACTCCCACCCTGCTCTCTCCACAGGGACATCTCTGGGACCAAATGTGACTTCACCGTGCAAGTACAGCTAAGGTACGATAAGATCGCCGTTTCATCAAAACATGGATAAAACTCAGCCAGAACCTTTTTGACAACTGGAAGCATTTAGCTAAATGACCGCTGAATGTCATTTTACTTCATATCATTGTTTATCAGACTAAATCGTCATAATGTAAAATCTTGTTTCTGACTTTTAAAATGGCAAATGCTCTGTGTTGTGTCTGTGAATGCTCTATCTACTTTCTGATTGTCTGTGTTGAGAAAAACATGCCCCCATCTTCAGCGCTTTCTTTTGTTTGGGTTTCTGAAATCTTTCCCACACATTCCTGAAGGAATCTCAACGCTTATTTTTCAGGTTTTGCTTATCGGAGACGAGTTGTCCTCAGGAAGATCATTTCCCACCCAACCTTTGTGTAAAAGTGAATGGAAAACCCTGTAACCTCCCTGTAAGTCTGGCTTTGTTTTTGGTCACAAATCAGGAAGACTCTTTTAGTTCATCTGCCAATGATGGATAAATAATTCAACAGAATGATTAGGGTGTACTTAGGTTTATTTATGATTTCAGGATAATATCTTATATCTTTTACCATTTTTGGCATTATAAAATGAAACAAACAAGAGGGTTCTTTCCATTCTTAAAAATCTGGGACTTAAACATACTTTTTAAAATCTTAAATATCCTATGTCTTAAACATGTAATTTCAACATCTTTGACTCTTGATGAATTAGTGTTTCAAATATAGTTCCACAATCACTGGCCACTTTATTAGGTACACCTTACTAATACTGGGTTGCACCCGTTCTGTCTTCAGAGCTGCCTTAATCCTTTGTGGTATAGATTCAACAAGGTACTGGAAATATCGGATTGGGATCTGGTGACTGTGGAGGCCATTTAAGTACATTGAACTCATTGTCTTGTTCAAGAAATCAGAAATGATTGGCGTTTTATGACATGGCGTATTATCCTCCTGGAAGTAGCCATCAGAAGATGGGTGCACTGTGGTCATAAAGAGATGGACATGTTCAGCAACACTACTTGGGTAGGCTTTGTAGAATAGCAGTTTATGAAATACTTAGACCAGCCCGTCTGGCTCCAACAACCATGCCATGTTCAAAGTCACTTAAATCACCTTTCTTCCCGATTTGGATGCTTTGTTTGAACTGCAGCAGATCCTCTTGACCATGGCTGTTTCTCAATATGTGTTCTTCAGCAATCTTGCGTCCTCGTGTTCTCTTGTAACGTTATCATCCACTGACAAAGTTCAGTTCCAATACTCAGGACCGTGTGAATCCTTCCGGATGTGTTCTTGATATCGAGGACGCATCGATGCAGACTTAAGCACCGAACTCGCTCTAGAAGTCCCAGCAGTCATTGCGACCAGAAGTGGGAAGCGCAGCATTTTATATAGGTTTATTATTAAAGCTCAGAGATATAATTGATTTATCTCTGGAGTTTCCTCAAATGAAACGGTAAAAGTAAACATTAGCATCAACATCTTAACAAAGGAATAAACGCATTAACAGAGTTTATTTTCTGAAATTTGTTTTGAAATCTGTTTTATTTATATTGTGCAACGTATATTTATAATGTTTTTATGCATAGTATATATTTTGAAAAGGGGATTAACAATAAATCATTGTATGAATGCTTTAATGTTTAAATAATATTCCATTAAAAATGCGTGAAGTCATGTGACCATCTGGAAGAACGCAGCGTCTCATTTCTCACAGGACGCGTTCTCTGTTCTCGCGGCCTCCCGAGTTCGTTCTTCCGAGCACACCTGGCAAGACCGGTCTTAACAAGAACGCAAGTCCTTTCTCTGCATTCTTGTAATTGAGAGACAGCCCATGTCTACATGCCTAAATGCATTGGTTGGCTGCCGTGTGATTGGCTGATTAGAAATTTGCGTTAACAAGCAGTTGAACAGGTGTATCTAATAAAGTGCCGGTGAGTGTATATCTGTGTAGTTCATTGCTTTATATGCTGACTGTTCAAAGCTGTGTTCAATGGATTTTGAGATGACTGCGTGGCATTTTACACTAAGCTATTTACATTTTGTTTAGGCGAATCTCTAAAAAACACAAAACAATCAGCGAATGAATTAACACTAAATTAATTTGGCCACTATGATAATCATAGTAAAGTAATTTTTTTCCCACTTGTCTATAACCTCGCACAATACACAGCAGTAAACTAGTTAAAGTTAGGTGGAAGGTATGCATTTTCAAGGCTTATAAAAAGACATTTAGACATTTTCATTTTTTAATTGTTAGAATGAAAATGTTTCTTATCACATATTTTACTGCTGTGTATGCTGCCTACTGGTTGTGTAATTGTCATATGAAAGTGGATTGACAAATCAGGGAATGAAACACAAGCAGAAGACCAGTCAAAGAGTGATTGTGGATAGCTGCACATCCCTTTTTAAATGTCAACATTTCAGTCCGTCTAAACTGAAAAGGAACACCAGGATTTCCAAACTAAAATGGGGTTAATGTGTAATGTCTGAAGATGCTGAAGTAGTGTGGATGCCAGGCATAACCATTACAAAACATATTAACAAGCATATATGTTTTAAAACATACTTGTGTAAAGAGCACCTCCAGACTTTTTCAAAACCTAAATGGTCTCAATTCATTTTTAAGTCATATCAATAAGAAAAAGAATAACCACTTTAATATGTTGAAATTGAGTTCTACACAAGTTTGCAAACATGAACTTAGAGCTGTTCTGTCTGCAGGGATATCTTCCTCCAACCAAAAATGGAGTGGAGCCAAAGCGACCGAGCAGACCCATCAACATTACCTCCTTGGTTAGGTTGTCTACAACAGTTCCCAACACCATTGTTGTGTCGTGGACATCAGAAATCGGAAGGGTAATGAATGTGAAATCTGTTTGAAGATCTACTAATCATGTGGCTCAAACCGTGTTTCTAAATGCTGCTTTGTCTACACAGAGTTACTCGATGGCGGTATACCTGGTCCGACAGCAGTCATCCTCAGTTTTGCTACAGAGACTACGGTCAAAAGGCATTAGAAACCCAGACCATTCAAGAGCACTCAGTAAGTTTACTCAAAGACAAATTGAACCATTACATAGTTTAATATTACCCACAATACATTCCTTTCTGACACTTTTTACCATACAAATTTGAGCATGTTTTCCTTGAAATATATAAAATAGTTAAGAAATACATTTTAAAATTAACTACTAATAATATAATACTTAAATAACTTGTTTATGATACTATTAGTATGCTAGTTCACACCGTCTTGCACAGAAAATACAAGTTTCTAACAACATTACAATTTCTAACAACTTATTATTACAATAAGTTGTTTGAAATCAAGTTAAATAAAATTTTGAAACAAAATAATCCATGTACTTTATTCTCTAAACATTGGGCATATTGTATACCTGTTGTATTCATCACATTGGCAAGTTATCACACTTGCGTTGTAGAGAAATTCAACTCTGTGATGATTATTGCCTATAGTTAAACATTAAGCATGATTTTTTACAGTATTGGCCCACATTGTGGCATTGGAAGCAAGCCTCTATGAGTCTTTGTGTATGGTTGCCAGCTTTCTTTCTGATTAAAATCACTACCATCTGCTTATAAACTAAATTTTGAACTGAAATAATTTCTACATGTATCATCACTGTAATGTTTGCAATTGCAGCTGCTGAATAGAGGAAATTCTAAAAGTTCTGTGTCACGAAGCAAATATGTTCTTGCCAGTGTAATTATTAAGTTAATTAGGGAGATGGACTAAACAACAACATGTACTTGAGCAAAGTTAGATGTAATTGCTAAAGCATATTAATCACATGATTTATAATAATGATTTAATAATATTTGTATATTGACAGGTCCAGCTTGTTTTACCTGTTTTCATAATATAGACAGTGTTTATTTAAAGTGTTGTGCAAAAACTTTGGAACTCCTTGTAGAATCTGTGAACGGGTTTCCAAAGGTTTAGCATAACGCACTGTTTGTGATAAGATAAACATAATTAATCAAAAGGCGAATTAAACCGCAGGTTGATGTTGAATATTGCTTTTAAAAGAGAATCACAATTAAAAGTTTCTTTGTTTTTCAAACACAATGACTTTCAACTTTGGTCTAACAATCATTGACACATCAATTAATGATAACAGATACAATATTCAAACAATACATATGAAAGTAACAATTATAAATTTGAAGCAAAATAATTGCAATTTATCAATTTAACAAAAAGTTGTGGTACTAATTGGTTAAGTATTGATCGGTGCTTCTCCAAAACCAAGTTTTATTTGAGCTGTCTGTTTTCTTCATGTGGGAGAAAATGCTGCTGTAAAAACACTTTAGAAAATGACTGAAGCTAGTGAGGTGATTGGGTTTGTATTCTGTGCTTTCTCCACAGTCAAAGAAAAGCTCACTGCTGACCCTGACAGTGAGATCGCCACCACCAGCCTGCGAGTCTCCTTGCTCTGTCCGGTATGTAACAGACCCTGAATAAAGAGTGTATTCTCTTCCAGCGATTGTGCTAAACCTTGTAACATTCCTTTGGGCACAACTGCATGAGTCATTTGTCAGAAAAATTTTACTCTTTCTCACTGAGGCCACCAAAGCTATGCTTAAGATTCTCTGAATTCCCAATGTGTGTTCATTGTGAATTGAATCTTTGTGACCGAGTTCTCACAATTAATTAAATGTAAAAATATGGTTTGAGAGGTCATGCTTGTACTGTATGATGGATTTTGTTATATGGCCAAAAATCCAAGATACACATATTAGTTTTTGCCTTGTTTTTATCATTCTGAAACGCATCACACAAGCAAAAATCAGGTCAATTACAAGTGTTATATTGATTTTTATACAACAATAAATTAAATAAGATGTTATAAACACTGGCTATTATTTAAATGCACTTTAAAATTTGAATATAGTGTAATTTTGGCAATATTGTGATTAAACTTTACTTAATATAAACCTAATACTTGCAATACTCTTCATATTTTCATCTAAGAAAGTGACAGTGAAGGCAAACCTCAGAACAATGTTCATCATGGCATTGAAAAACCTTGAAATTGAATTGTATTTTGCATTTGATATAAGTAGATTGAAAACAGTGGACAGTTTGTGTAAAAATAAAAACAAATGAAAATTTTGTCAATTTAATGTAAAAATGAGAAAAGAAGTTCCATCTTGCCATGTAAACATCTTATTGTGCTTACAGTCCTTACTCTGTTTATTAGAAATAATGATTATGGTGTTTTTGTTGCACAGTTATATTATTGGTTTAATGAATGACTGGCTTTAATTAAACAGGTGCTGGTCGCCACCTAGAGTCTATTTAGTGTGCATTTTAATGCATTTTTTTATAAAATTGTAAATGGCGTTTAAAATAATTCAGAAACATTCTCAGCAAAATGTTTATTTTCCTCCATTGTGATCAACTATACAATGCAGTATTCATTTAATTTTTTTCAGGGTGTTTAAGAAAGTCTTTACATTTTCATTTTTGATCAAAAAAAAGTACAGAAGTGTTGTGTGAGTGATTTATCAAACCACAAGTTAGCAGTATAATGATTTTATACTACTGCATAATTATCTTTATTTATTTTTTAAAGTTTGTCACCATATACTATATGCTAACTAAGACACCTGTGTGTAAACAAACAGCTGGGAAAGATGCGGTTGATGATTCCGTGTCGAGCGTTGACCTGCTCACACCTGCAGTGCTTTGATGCTACACTCTACATTCAAATGAATGAGAAGAAACCCACCTGGGTGTGTCCGGTCTGCGACAAGAAAGCCCCTTATGAACACCTTATTATTGATGGGTCAGTGTTGCTCTCATCTCATACATCTGTTTCTGTAGGCCAGCTGAAATCTGCTAAAACTGTTTAGATTTGCTTTAATGTTTCATTAATTGCTTTAGGTTTCTTTATTTTTGTACACTACCATTGAAAGGTTTGGGATTGATAGGATTTTTGAAAAGTGTCTTATTCTCACCAAGGTTTTTTACTTAATCAAAATGACAATAAAAGCTTTAATTTTGTAAAATAAAGCTATAATTTTAAATGCAAGTATCTATGTTTATATAAAAAATTGTCCAGGTTTAGGGTCATAATGATTCCTCAAACAATTTTATTATTTTCAAAAATAAAGTCATTTGTTTTCAGATTTTTTTTTTTTTTTTTGACAGATTGAATCTTAACTTAAAAACAAAATTTTAATAAGAAATACAATTGTTTTACCCCAAACTCTTAAAAATATGTGATTTTTATGAAAGGTGTTTGTAGTTTACTACTTGTTTTTTTTTTGTATTTTTTGTACAGATTGTTTATGGAGATCCTGAGCAGTTGTGTGGACTGTGATGAGATCCAGTTTAAAGAAGATGGCAACTGGTCTCCTATGAGATCCAAGAAAATAGTACAGGAAGTGTCAGCCTCATCAAACGGCGTTGAAGGTATTTCCACAAAGATGGTTACATTCACGGAGACAGACATGTCTCTGTCCTGTAGTAAGAAATGTGTGGTAAAGCATAGTAAAGCGAGGTAGTCAACTTACATTTGATTTCAATAATATTAATTGTTATTTAAATATTTTTTTAGACTCGTGTCGGTCAGTTTTGTCAGACCACAGAAACAGTTCGTCCCACAGCAGTAGCAGTAAGAAAGTGGAGGTGATTGACTTGACGTTGGACAGTTCATCAGATGAAGATGATAGTGATGAACCTGCACCTAAAAGAGCCTGTCCATCTCTGTCACCAACCTCCCCGCCAATTAACAAGGGGTGAGTACTTCACTTGTTCATTTGGTGTTTATTTGTTTGTTTTTTGTCTTAATTTGTTGCCCTATTTATTATTTTAAACCCAGCAAACCTTCTTATAAAATGTTTTGAAGTTGTAATCAATCAGGTATTTTCAAAAGCTTTGTTGTGTTTAGGGTGTACTGAAACATGTTCATTCCTTGTTTTTGTTTTTGCATAAACATTAAAACACTCTTAATGTCTTAAAGTTCAGAAACAACATTAAAGCCTTTGTGTTGTAGTTCTTAAATTGTTTCAAACAGGTCTTAATTTTCTTGTGTCCCGGTAAAGCTGCCCATTCAAACCAACACCCATCCAATCACCAACAATCTATCGCAATAAAACATTTAATAAAAGTTTATCTTCCTTACAATGACTTGTTTAAGTTTATGATTTATTGCTACATACACCGACGTGTACATCATATTGTGCATATGTTTAGTTTACTGTAGTTTTTAAAATTTGTCCGTACAGTTTTAAAAACTTGTATTTAAAGAAATGTTATGATAAAGATATATTTGAAAATTGTAATATATTACCTAATGTATTACAATTTTAAATTTGTGAGTAATATTTATAACAAATACCAACATTTAAAGTTTTTTGATGGAGCAAGTAATAATCTTTTTTCTTGTCCTAAATATACTTTTTGGTAAATTCTTAAACCTTTGTTAAACGTTTTATTGCGATGGATTGTTGGTAATTGGATGGGTGTTTGCTCGATGAGGTAGCTTTACATTGACAGAGAAAAATAAACACCTGTTTAAAACAATTAAGGACCTACAACACAATTTTTTAACAATTAAGACTTAAGGACTAAAATTTTGTTTTGAAATGCTGAAGTTTTTAAGACTTTTTTTTAATGTGTAAGCAAAAACATCTGCAAAGTTGCTCAAACTTTAATGTAAAATTAGATATTTTCAGAATTATCTTTCAAGGAATTCTCTTTTTAAGACCTACAACAAATATCACAAAGTTTTGTTTATTAAGTATTTACCAATATAGTATCTTCCTCACGATAACATTTGTTTAAAAGTTTATGATTTATAGCTACCTGGTAAGCATACTGACAAGGAACAGGCATCATATTGTACATACATTTAGTTTACTGTAGTTTTAAAGAAATATTTATTTATATCAATATTAATTTAATTATATTTATTATTTATTTATTTAAATGTGGACATTTTTATAATAAATAACTACATGTGAATTTTTAATGGAGCAAGTAAAAATCATTTTCAGAAAAAAAAAATCGTTACTGTTTAGCTGAAATTCTGAAAGTCTGAAATTCTATTCATAATGATCTTAAAAAGTCTTGCATTTAAACTTAAGTTTGACACTTGCAGGAACCCTGATTAAACACTTATTAAAGAGCAATCACAATCAATGAGCACCTTTAAAATCTTTTTTGATATGGGTTAATAATCCAAATAATACATTTGGAGCAAATGTAAATTGTTTGAATACTGTTTTAATGTCTCATTGGATTTCCTTATTACTTCTGTGTATGTTTTCCTGCAGAGTGTTAAATCTCCATCATCAGGCTTCTCCACTGGCTAGAGCTCCCAGCATGCCAGCAATGGAGACAAACTACATCCCTCCACCTCCTCCTCTCATCCAGGACTACCGTCACTATTACCACACACCCAATGACCTCTCAGGTACTAAAGCATTGCACTGATTTAACGTCTCAATTTTCTTGTGCTGTCAAGACTGCATTGTTCTTGTCAGTCAAGTAATTACAGTATATTATTAATGGTTGTATATTATATACACTACTGGTTAAAAGTTTGGGTTCAAGTTTTTTTCGTGTTTTTTTTTTTTTAATCAAATTATTCTGTTCATCAAAGAAGAATTTATTAAATGTAAAGAAATTGTTAAATATTTATTCAAATTTTAAATAACTGCTTTCTTATTGTATGTAGTGTCAAATGAAATTAATATTCCAGTCGTTATTGCTTTTATTACTATTAACATCAATAATAATAAGAAGAAGAAGAAGAAGAAGAAGAAGAATTAATATTAGAGTGATTTCTGAAGGATCATGTGACTGAAGTAATGAAGCTAAAAATTAATCTTTGAAATCATTGGAGTAAATTATTATTATTGTTATTTTATAGTGCAAAAACATTTCACAATTTGACAATTTGTACTGTATTTTTGATTAATTAAATGCAGTCTTGGTGAGCAGGATACGCTTATTTTAAAACATTTAAAAATCCTACTGATCCCAATCTTTTGACTGGTAGTGTATGTGTGTCTATCATGGCATAAATCAGATAACTCTCTAATATGTTTATTTTAGTGCTTATGAACAGGACTGATTATAATACAAATCTGTGATATGACTACCTGTTGTCACGACTAAAGTTAATCGATGCTACTACATTAAATGAAAATTATGACTTTATTAGCATTCAATATTATTGATTGAAAAAATTGATTGAAAAAATTAGACACAAATAAAGTTTTAGTAGTAACCAAAATAAAAAAAACAAACAAACAGGAGATGACAAAGGAGTATAGATTATTTAATACTAGTATTTACATATCTAGGAGCTTTGATGCTTAGGATTGGCAGCTTAAGTGATAGATCTTAGCTAAATATTTTATTTTTAATACTATTTATTAATAATCATCTTATCTAATCCATAATACAGTCTGTAATTAGTCCAATTTGCATTATTATTATTATTATTAGAAGACTATCATATTTCAGTTGTGATTGCATAATAAATATACACTTCAATGTCTGTGCCACAATACAAAATTTTATTTCTGTGGCTTTAACACAATGGTTCTCAATTTCAGTCCTTGGGGCCCCCACCATGCACATTATATATGTCTTCTTTACTTAACTCACCTCATTCAGATCATCAGCTCAATAACAGAGAGATCCATGAACTGATCCTTGTGTTTCAAATGAGAGAGACATACAAATTGTGCAGGGTAGAATTGAGAACACTAACAGAAAACATTAGTGAAATTTGGAACGACTGCATGCAATATTAGAAATTTTACTATTGTTCTGGTGTGTGGTTAAAACATGATTATCAAACTACAATGGTCATTTTTTATATATATTTGAAAAGAAAATTGTTATCCATTTAACCATTATGCATTAAATGACAGTATTTCAGTAGATAGTTCAGTACAACTTTTAATGAAATTATAATAATTAATATTTTTAGAATCACTTTAAAACATGTTCTTGATAAATTAAAGTATTGATTTTCTTAAATTGAAAGTCTAAATGTAAATTATTGTACCTTAATTGATTGATAAAGTAGCTGCATTGATTTCAAAATAATGTTTTTAAATGTATTTAAAATCCTTGAATTGGATGTGGGCACAATTCATGCCAAACCAACTGTTTTTGTTTTCTTATTCTACAGATCTGAACTTCTTCTCATTTTTACAAGGGGACAATCACCAGGTGGGTTCACTCTCTGAGATGGCAACACTTCACTGCTAGAGGGCAGTGTTGAGCTTAAACAAAAGTCTATGATAAAACACATCATTTTATTATCACGGCATGGATGTTGCCAAAATCTGCCTTAGAGAGAATTATAATACACTACAAACCCATTTAAATGAAACATTAGCATAAAGCTGTTGCTCTTTCATCCTCTTTTATGCAGCATTACAACATGGTCATGGCAGCTGCAGCCGCCGCATCGGCCTCTGCATCAGCATCCGAAGACCACGAGCTGCTCCTGAACCGCTTCATGCCCTACGGTTCCTCTCAGCTCTTTCTGGAGCAGTCAGGGACGCCGGCGAGCAGCTCGCTAGTGCCTGCTAACGGCAGCGGAGGCAGCAGTAGCGGAAGCAGCAGCAGCCTGGTGTCCTCCAGCAGCCTGAGAGACAGTCACCCACACACCAACACGTCCCGCTCGCGATCCGACGCCGCCGCATCGGTAATATACGGCTCCATCCCTGACGTCATTTCACTGGACTGACTGCTCCTGGCTGGCTCGCCAAAAAAGACAGGCTTTTACCACAGACAGCAGGAGGAGGGAAAAGGAGCTTCGTGCACTCATGATTAAAATGGGATCGAAGGATTGGAGGAAGAGAGGAAAATAAAGGAGAACAAAGACTTTTGTAAAGAGAAGAATAAAATTGCTGTGTACAGAGAAGAAAAATCTATTTTCAGTTTTACTTTTGTATATAAACAATAGGACGCTGCCTACCCAGTGAGTGACTTCAGTTGGTCTTTTCTCAATGGATACTGAAGATGTTTTTCACTGCTCTGTGTGTCGTTCCTTGATTATCTTATTCTCTACCTTTTTATACCTTTTTTGCTATTTTATTTGACTTCAGATCATGATTTCAGTCGCGGTAATAGAATGGCAGGCATCTTTTATCGCTTTTATTTCCGGAGACTCTGTCCCTCAGCCATGGTTTGTTCGTTTTTTTTTTCGATCAGTGAGGGAACATCACTTTATTTAATGCCATTTATCCTGTGCAGGTAATTTATTATTGCTTTTAAGTTATGTAGGATGTATGCTGTACAGAAGCATTCCCTAATGCCAATACAGAATCTAGCCACGACATGCTTGAAGAGTCGACAGAGGTCACGTCTTATTCCAGTTGCACATTCTTTCTCATCCATTACCACATTAAGTATGTAGGACGTCAGTGCCCGGATTTGCTGGTAAGTACCTGAGGTAAACTCTTGTACTTTTTTTATGATCTCATATCCTTTGATGTTGTTGTCTGCACCGATCCTCAAAAGATGAAGGTGAGGTTTGCAAAAACAGCACTAAGGGTTTTAGACATTATAGCATACCTCATTTAGTTTCTTGCTAATATGACAGAACAATGGTGTTGCAGTTATTTCCTCATGATTGGTGTAACGTCCAATGCCAGCGGACCTTCAGATTCAGCTTTGTGCACACTTGGTCTCTTTATGTCGCCTGTATTAAAGGGTTTGTTATCCTAAAAATTAATGTTCTTTAATTAATTGCTCACCCTTATGTCATTCCAAAACCCTGAAATCTTCATTCTTCATCTTCAGAAAAAAAACGAAAGATATTTTGGATGAATCCGAGTGCTCTCTCATCTTCCATAGACGGCAATGATTCAGACAGGTCCAGAACGATACAAAAAAAAAACATTGTCAAAACACAATCGGTTCATTCGGAATACTTTGAAGCTGCAAGAATACTTTTGTTCACCTAAAACAAGAATGGCGACTTTATTAACCGTTTTTTCTTTCAGTGTCAGTATAGGGTGCACATTCATGAGCACTGTGCACTGACACTGATGTCCGTGTGTGACTTTCTGTGTTTGAAGCAAATCTGAGGTATATGTCAGTAGCGCAGAAACAACAAAGTGCTCTTGTGAACGCACACCCTATACTGACACTTAATAAAAGAATCTGTTGAATGAAGTCATTATTTATTTAATTTAGATATTTATCTAATAATTATATAAATTAGTTTCGTATCATATAAATTCAGATAATTTATATAATTCATATCAGATAAAAAATAATTAATATTATATTTATATTAATTTATATTTATTCAGATATTTATCTGATTGAATCACTAGAGCAGGGGTGCCCAATCCTGTTCCTTGAGATCCAACTTCCTGCAGATTTCAGCTCCAACTCTGATCAAACACAACTAAACTCAATGAGTCAGATCTAAAGGAGCCTTTGGTAATTAAAAACAGGTGTGTTTGATTAAGGTTGCAGCTGAACTCTGCAGGAATATCGATCTCCAGGAACAGGATTTGGCATTCCTGCACTACAGACTTATGGACAGTTTTTTTTTTTTTTTGGCTGCCAGTCAAGACCATTGCTGTCTATGGAGGATGAGGGAGCTCTCAGATTTCCTCTAAAATATCTTTAATTCGAAAGTCTCAGCGATTATGTATTGACATGAAGTGGAATAATTAAAAAATAAAACATTTCTGAGTGAACTAATCGCTTTAAGTCGTGTACAAATTTTCTTGAGGTCAGCGTGGCTTTGGGTTACTATTGAGATTAGTAAATGCAACACCATCTAATTGAACTTTTCTAGGTTTTTGAAGTGTGTTTGGAAGGTGACCTTATTGCAACATAATCCGTGCTGTCTGTTTTTTTTTTTTTTTCGTCTGTATAAAATTAAATTTATTTATTTTAATCTATATATTATATTTTTACTATTTGTTTGATCATGCATTACTTCCATGCGTTTATTATTTCAAGAGCTCTTAACATTTGCTTTGCATTGTACAAGTAGCTAATTATGTGTCCTCCTCCCCTCATATTTGTACTATATGAGACATCTGAGGCATTAATTCCACAGTCGTACTTGCTGTGTCCGATTGGAATAAAACCGTTTAAAGGATAAAAGCCACATCTTCTGGCTTCATCGCGATGTTTTTGATTTGTCATCGATTCTTTCGCATTAAAAAAAGGGTTGTGGAACATTTAACGGATGAACGTTAGCACATATTTGTATTTGCTTGATGACAGCCAGTGCACCAAGAATCCACTAACCTTTCTAAAAGAGTGATTTATGTCTTCAGTGTTGGAAATTAACAATTGGATTATCGAACCCATGCTTGTTTAATTTATATATATATCTATATTTTTACTTTTGCACTGAGTTACATAACAGCACACAAAATCAAGACCGCCGTCATTCTCCACAAATCTCCCATTTTGACATTGCACTGAAATCATGCGTTTCATGTGCTCACGTCCTTGAAGTAAACCACTAGACAGTCAGTCTGTTATAGCTGTACCAGTAACTGGCAAGTGTGAACTCTCTGCCTTAAGTTCTTCTCTTACTGTATGGTACGCTATGAGAGAAACCATTATGTACAGGAAACCAATACCAGTTTGTACAAAATATATGAATTATTTATTATTTGAATTGGGATACATTGTTTACTTAATGAATGTTACTTGTTTATGTAGAGAGCGGTTTAGCTGTAATAAAACAAATACATTAAATTTTTTCTATTTCTGTGTTATCTGTATTATGGCCTCTTTGTTTGACCGATGTTGGAAACCAGTAGAGACTGACATCCATCGCTGTAGTCGAAAGCAAAAATACATATGGACGTCCATCGCTACCCATTGTCATTGTTCTTCAAAAATCTCCTTTTGTGTTCATCAGAAGTGTTTGGAATCAATGGAGGGTGAGTAAATAAATCCCTTTTAAATGAGATGCAAGTGCTGAGTCCAAATCACAATCATGACCATAGAAATGCCTATAAGATAACAATAATGCCAATTTGAGGGCTGATATTTAAATTAGCAGATTTTCTTGCTTTATTTGACATTATGACAAGTACTTTATTATAATTGAGTACAAAACATGTCAAATCAAATGTTTTCTGCCTGTGATGTGGTTGTTGGTATAAGAGTACTTTTTATAGCCTAGTTAATAACATTTTAGGGATTAGGCTGCGTCCGAAATAGCATACTACTATATAAAAATAAAGTTTGTATGCTTCCATAATATATAAAAAATAAAAAAAACAGTATGCGGGCCGAGTAATATGTCTGAATTCATATGCTGTGTCCCAAATGGTACACAGTCCACTTATGCACTTTGTACTTATGCACTTACACACTCCACAGCATAGTATATGAATGTAATGTCGCCCCAAGCGTTTTTTTTACTAAGTGGAAATTCGAACTGTTTCCCTGATAAGGTTTGACGGTTGCCAAATTGGCTAAATAATGACCAAACTAATGTTACCAAAAACTACCGGCCATGAGTATAACTACATTCACCATAGTAAGGTGGCATAATAACTCTCATAGGAGAATTTTACTTTCACAATCCAAAATAAAGTAATTCAACGCCATGTGCAAGATCATACTTTCCGTGACCGTGATGAACATGAATGCCAGTGTCATCTTCCTCACCACAATTCAACATCAGTGCCTGAAAGGTTTGTCCCTTCCGCTACATGACCAAGCAGCAACCATTGAGTTTGTGTAGTGTCCATTCCACATTTCTTTTTAACAGCTGACAAAGTAGATCATTCGGGTACTTTTTAAAGTGCACTTAATTTATTTTGAATTTTCAGTGTGAATGCACTACTTGCACTATACTTTAAAATGGCGTAGAATAGTGCATAAGTATGCGATTGTGGGATGCACCCATAGAACTCAAGAAAACAGCATGCGAGAACAAGGACTGTTGCTGTGTTTGAAATCGCATGCTTCCATAGTATGCTAAAATCAGTATGCGAGCCGAGTAGTATGTTCGAATTTTTAGAATTTGAAAATCAGTATGGGAGAAGTACCTGGATGACTTACTACTTCTGGCGAGATTCTGGAGTGCGCATACCATACAGGCTGCGCTATCCCATACTTTTCTAACGGCCGAGTAGTACGTTTAAATTCAAATGCAGTACCTAGTAGGCGGTTTTGGACGCAGTCTGTAGAATACACAAGACATGTCACTTGTATACTTTTGAGAAGGGAAAAGTGTAACTGTCAATATGGTGATTGAAGCCCCGCCTCCTAGAACAGGAGCCAATCAGCGATCACTATAGTATGACAATTCTTCTGAGGAGGGGCTTGGACCAGATATGAGTTTCTGCAGATTTTGTGTGATATATGAACATTTAGAAATAAAATAAAATAGACAGTTGTTGTTTAATTTGATTGGTGATTCTTAATATGAAATGTAATGGTAAGCTTGGCAAGTAGTTTTGGAGAATTTGATGTTTCCCTATTCAAACAGAATGGCCGAGCATACTGCCCGAGAGGCATTTCAAAGATGGCCACCGAGTGAAATTACTTACCTTAAAGGGAGTTTGGCGAGAAGTACCCGGATGACTATTACTGGCGAGATTCTGAAGTGTGCATCCGATGGACACTATGCGATCCTCTGATGAATGATCCTATCACTCCCAGGGCCATTTTGAAGTTGATGTTTAGCCACATCATGTTGGTGTTTCTTAGCATCTAATTTTTATGAGTTGGGACCTTAGCCCAACACTCAACCCCCAACCTGGAGGACCATACACACATACAACAATAAACAGTTAAGTTGTCCCCAAAAAAAAAACAAACTCATTAATTGTGTTGATTCAGCTCGTTTTAAGTAAGTTAAAAAAAACAGCAAAAATTATTTTGAGTGAACATCAAAAAATTTTGGACTGAAATTTGTTGACAAATATATTAAACAACTGCGGCAAGAATTAGCTTTTTTTGCTATATAGTATTTTTGTTTTACTGTGTCAAAGGTTATGGGGTCTAAGCTTTCTTTAAAATGTATTTTCTGTGTAAGAGTAATTAAAATCAAAACAGTTTGGAACAAGCAAAGGGCGAGTAAATGATAACAGAGATTTCGTTTTTAGGTGAACCATGCTTTTAATATTCTAATGATTTTTGGGATAAAAGAAAAAATAATGTTGACACAGACCTACTACACTCGTCCAACATAGCCTATGAATATTTTTAGGTTTTGAGGTCCAGGGCCACATCTATAAATGCATTTGGGTAAACCTCGACTTACCCAATTTGCATTAATTTATTAGTTGTATTTTTAAAATCTATCTATAAGGTACAAAAATCCGAAAACGGCATACTGATTTCAAATGTCTTATTATGATGATTAAACATTCCCAGGGGTACAAACTGCCATAATCCTAACCCTATAGAATAATATAACTGACCCTCAGTTGTTTTTTGTCAAGTCTAGTCTATTTGCTATATGGACGAGTTATATGAAGGCGCGTGTATAAAGCGTGTCTTGTACCTCTGGGTTAATTGGTAGAAGCGCACGACTGGTGAGCAAACGACTGACTGAGACACAGAGAGAGAGAGAAAGAGTGAAAGATCGATCCTCTTCAACACGGGCTTTGCGCAGCGCGCGCTCGGGTCGCAAAAGGAACGCGCTTTTGACCGCTTAACCATGGGTGACCCTTTCAGCAACAGCAGCAGGACATTCAACCGAACCCTGCAGAGTAAAGTCACATTTGGAAATCTGGAGGACATCGACGTGACCGCGGACAGGAGCCCAGTCTTGAGGATCATGATCTCCGTTGTGTACATTCTCGTGTGCGCAATAGGGTTAATCGGGAATTCGCTGGTGCTCCTCATCATGAGAGTGAAACACTCCAGGCAGAGCACCACTATTAATATTTTTGTTCTTAACTTAGCCGTCACAGACATCCAGTTTGTCCTGACACTGCCTTTTTGGGCTGTAGACACCGCGCTGGATTTCAGCTGGCCGTTTGGAGACGCCATGTGCAAGATCATACTGTCCGTGACCGTGATGAACATGTACGCCAGCGTCTTCTTCCTCACCGCAATGGGCATCACTCGATATTTATCCGTGGCTTCGGCCAGCAAGAACAGGATCCGACCACCAGCATCAGGCTCTGTAAAATGGGTTTGCACCTTCTTGTGGGTGCTCGCTACAGTCGCCACCGCTCCAACGTCTATTTTCTCCACGGTCACCAGTGTGGTCGGAGAGAAGCTCTGTTTGCTGAAGTTTCCTGCGGGACAATACTGGCTAGCTTTTTATCACTTGCAAAAAATCATGGTCGCTTTTGTTCTGCCCATGTTGATTCTTTCCATATCCTATTTGTTGCTTCTGAGATTTGTGAGAAAGCGCAATATAAAAAACATTCACTCCCGGCGCAGGATCCAGGTCACCAAATCCATCACGGTGGTCATTCTCTCGTTCTTCCTTTGCTGGATGCCCAACCACGCGATTACATTTTGGGGTGTTCTGGTCAAGTTGAACGCGATTCGCTGGGATGAGGCTTATTATGTTGTCCATACCTATGTGTTCCCCGTGACTGTTTGTTTGGCTCATACTAACAGCTGCTTAAATCCTTTTATATATTGTCTTACGAGAAGAGCTTTGAGGAAGAAACTGAAAAAATGTTTGTCCATTTTTGCCCCCTGGTTATTAAAGAGCTCTCTACAGAAGTCCAGCAGGCATGCATAAATGGCACAACTGCGTGTAAATATCACACGATGATGTATTGTTTTTATTTAAAGTATTAAATTATGTACGCATATGTCGTCGGGTGCTATTTTGAGACCAAACTGAATCTTTTTAAATGCATGCATGTGTGAAAATGACTATTAAAACAAAATGTGTTCTCTTTGCATATTTCACTATTTATTGTACAATAAGGTTGACCTCTAAATAAATATTGATATAATAAATAATTCTGACTATAATTTCATATAATTACTATGCGCAATGGGATAAATCCTGCATCAAATGGTATACAAAGAATATAATTGTCACAAGGAAAAAAAACGTTTAAATTTCCTCTTGAGGTTTATATTGTCAAGAAACTGCTGAACACTCAATAGCAATGTATCAAGCTTCAATTAAGAATAGTGGCTGATTAGTTAAAAATTCTGTCTTATATGTGGGATGGATGGTACGCCACTCCACCTGTAATATTGGATGTCTGGGGCCACCCTTGGAGTGGCACACTGAAATCAATGATTGAACAAACGAACAAATGAAGGAAACCTTGATGTGTTGCACTTTTGTTTCTGGTTAATGTTTTCAGGTTTGATTGTAATTCTCTTTCCATTTAATAGAGAGAAGATTGTTTTTTAACAAATTTCTAAGCATAATAGTTTAATAACTTATTTCTAATAACTGATTTATTTTATCTTTGCCATGGTGACAAATAATATTTAACTAGATAATTTTCAAGAGACTTCTATACAGCTTAGCTCATTTAAAGGCTTAACTAGGTTTACTATACATGTTAGGGTAATTAGGCAAGTTGTTGTATATCGATGGTTTGTTCTGTACACAGTCTGAAAAATTTTGCTTAAAGGAGCTAATATAGGTTTGACCCTAAAATGATACATAATAAATTTTAAACTGCTTTTATTCTAGCCGAAATAAAACAAATAAGACTTTCTCCAGAAGAAAAAATATAATCAGACATACTGTGCTCTGTTAAACATAATTTAGAAATATTATAAAAAGATAATATCTTTTTATAATAAAAAGATATTACACCGGAGGGGCCGGTGTAATAATTCTGACTTAAAAGTGTGTGTGTGTGTGTGTGTGTGTGTGTGTGTGTGTGTGTGTGTGTGTGTGTGTGTGTGTGTGTGTGTGTGTGTGTGTGTGTGTGTGTGTGTGTGTGTGTGTAGTGCTGAGCATAATTAAGTACACACATATGTGTATCCAATTGTCAGTGAATATAGGCAATGTATTGTGGTGCATTTAAACGAAACAAATTTATTAAACAAATTTATTTAATGAAATAATATTTTAGTCACCAAACATAAATTTTTTTAAAGATAATACAATTAAATTCAAGCAAAATATGGCCCCAAAAAAACTTACAACCTATAAAAAAAATATTATTTATTTATTTTTCTCTTTTCTTAAATTTGCATTTAATATTTTTTTCTATAACATAAATTTGGCTGTACTTATTTTTGGACTGTTATCGTAAGTTATTTTGTTAGATAGGCTCCAGATTTGCTTCAGTACTGACTAATATAGTATAGATTCCTATTAAAAATATGAATTTAAAAGATAGATTTGTGAGGGGTGTACTTATTTATGCTGAGAACTGTGTGTATGGTATGTATGTATGTATGTATGTATGTATATATATGTATATATATATATATATATATATATATATATATATATATATATATATATATATATATATATATAAACAAAAGTCGTGTACACCTTGCATAACCTCAATTGTTTTGTTTTTGGTGCAGCTACCCCTTTAAATTTTAACAAGAAATAAAAACATAAATTATAGAAGAGGCGTGGCGTAACGTTGAAATATATCTGCATAAATGCACTTATTTACATGTATTGCCGTGAGTAGAGCACAACTTCTGTCATTCGTCAACAGGGGCTGCTGGATAAACGCTGTTTATTATGAGAGTCACCTGACAAGGGCGCCAGTAAAGTGCGTCATAGGAACGCAGCGCGGCGCCTTCACCCTGCGTGAATTAAATCGGAGCTGGCAATGCCTGGATTTGATTTTCCAGCTATTTTTATTGTTTAATCTGTGAATGGCGCCTAAACAGGACCCTAAACCTAAATTTCAAGAAGGTAAGATGCGCTTTGTTTCATCCACGAGAGTCACCCGTCGATCGGGGATCCTCTCATTCTGCCGTGCAAAGGAAGCGGGCGCTGCCGCTGCACAATGGCGCGCGCGCACGGCGAGCTGTCTGTTACAAAACACTTTTTAGCTGAGAGTTGCCGCCTTTAACTTGTGCAGAGTTGTTCATCACCTGTCAAGCGAGTGCATGATCGCACGTTGGTGCTTTTCGTTGCATCTGACAGCCTCTGCAGACGCACACAGCGGCGTGTTCCTGAAACAAAACATTAGCTGTTGTCTATGATGTAGCCGTTAGCATACAGCAGGCCTTGTTTACAGGAAGCGGCCATTGCAGTATTGAAGTCCTGGCGGGAACAGTCATTTACTTATTTGAAGCGTAAAAACAACGACGTTAGCTCGGAGCTGTTCTAAAACTGAAGTCGATAATGAGCAAAGAAAGGCTATATTATTGCATTAAAATGACCATTAGCAATTTTTGATAACTGAATGAATCGTTCTATAGAATCGAATCTTTAGAACAGTGTTCTATTCTGAATCTGATTCCTGAACTGGGACTCTAATATGAGTTAATATTGTTGGTGATTGTAAGTAAACGCATATGTCAAGTAAACAGTCAGATTTGATGTATTGTTTGACTATATAAGCAGGTTTTAAATGTGCGTATTTCTCGTTTGTTTAAGTATTGTGTATTGAAAATGCTAATTATATTTTGGTTATAATGAGCTTAATTATGATTCAAACAAACAATATGGTAAATATACTGCAGACTGTTATAAATCTACTATACATTTAAAACATTTCTTTGTTGTGGCATTTTCTGAAAGTACAATATTCTGTGCCCACACACATATTTGAATATGTAACACTTCTATTTTATTTATTAGCCCATTAGTGGATGTCATTGTATATTAATATTTCTGATGTTTTTTCAGGTGAACGAGTGCTGTGCTTTCATGGGCCATTGCTATACGAAGCTAAGGTACCTGAATCATTCATGCCATTATGCATGCTTCAAAAGGCTTTTTGATATTTGTTTTCCTGAAAGCAGTACCTGAATGGCATTACATTTATAGTGTAAATGTAGTCATGTGTTTGTAGTGGTTTTGTTTATCATATTAATGCTTTGGTATTGTTTTCTGTGTCAAGTAAAGGGATTTGTTTTTGTATAGTTAGCCCTCTACCCCATGGTGTTGCCATATGGCAACATAATACCGTTAATTTTTGCCAGTGCCACTGTTCTTCTTCTTCTGCCAGTGTTTCTTTAAGACCAACGTTCTGTTTGTTTTTTTTGTTTTTTTGTGGTTATTGGAAAGAGAAGACCTTAGTGTAGCCAATGATGTGCTTCGGTTAAGTCACATGACGTGCAGTGTTTTTCTGTGGCTTGGTTTCTGTTAGACTGGCGTTTATTTTGAATAGTTGCTGAAAGCAAATGAAAAAGTCAATAAAATCAAAGCATCAACCCATGCCAGATCCACAAACAAAATCTGAGACATCACATCCAATAAGTTATGATGACATATTCACAACTCAAAAAGATTTTGATCAAATTAGCATTTTGTAAGTCGATCAAATGTATGTGCTAGCAAATGGAAATGCTGTACAATAGAGGAATGTGCGATATTGCGATAGATTAGCTAGCTAGGTCAGCTCAGCTGTGGTCTTTAAAGTTGTAACAATAACAACATGAATGCTAGTAATATAACGTTGATTAGTTGTATGTTAATGGCATTTGCTTTATGGTTAAATCTAATTTTAATGGCAGTGCATTTGATTAGATATAAATACAAGGAACAGTGTATTAGTGAGGACCACAATGTTCTATAGTTAGTGAAAGAAGAAAAGGACACAACTGGCTCTTCCCACAGATGAACGTGAGGATGAGATGGTGACAATGAGAATAATGCAGATTGGACATTTGATAAGAGCAGTGATGAAGTCAGTTTAAGTTAGCTAGCTCAGAGGTGTATATAAGACAGATGTAGTAAAGTATATAGTTTAATATATAAACATAGTTTGCTGGTAGCAAAAGTTTATTTTGATGCATCTGAATATTTTAGACTTATTTATTTGTTATAATATTTACTAGAGGATATATTTATACTTTCTGTATGTTGTCTACATGATAATACAATATTATGTTAAAAAGAATGGACTAAATAAAAAGTTTTGGAATATCAGTTGAAGTCAGAATTATTAGCCCCCCTGTTTATTTTTTTCCCCAATTTCTGTTTAATGGAGTATGTTTTTTTTAACACACTTCTTAACATAATAGTTTTAATAACTCATTTCTAATAACTGATTTATTTTATCTTTGCCATGATGACAGTAAATAATATTTGACTAGATATTTTTCAAGACACTTCTATACAGCTTAAAGTGGCATTTAAAGGCTTAACTAGGTTAATTAGGTTAACTAGACAGGTTAGGGTAATTAGGCAAGTTATTGTATAATAATGGTCTGTAGACTATTGAAAAAATATAGCTTAAAGGAGCTAATAATTTTGACCTTAAAACTGTTTTAAAAAAATCTAAAACTGCTTTTATTCTAGCCGAAATAAAACAAGTAAGACTTTCTCCAGAAGAAAAAATAGTATCAGACATACTGTGAAAATTTCCTTGCTCTGTTTAACAAAATTTGGGAAATATTTTAAAAATAAAGAAAAAATAAAAGGGGGTTTAATAATTCTAAATTCAACCGTATAAGGTGTCATTTATAAGTTCTGTGTTAAAGCTTTTAACTCTGCAACACCAATTAAATAATTTCAAACAACAAAATTATAATTCATAAGGAAAGTTCTACATTTTAAATAAAGTTAGATCCACTAATGGATGTTGTTGTCATATCGCAGCATATCATAAAGTACCTCAACTTCTCATTTCCCCAGATCTTTTTTGCAGCACTTCAAGTTAAGCCAATCCAAGAAAAGAAAAACAGTCAAATACTTTTTTTTTTTATAGAGCTATCATGATGCGTGCAGTTGAGGGTTAACTTTGTGTAATTTTAGGTTTTTCCTTTTACTAAATGATTTTTATTTTATTCCTATTTAGATTTTTATTAAAGAGCTATACCTTTGGGCAATATTGCCATC